AAAAAAAATGATTGCTTATAGTTTCTGAGGCTGTGAATTCCGAAGTCCAGGGAGCATATCTGGTGGTGGCAACAGTGAACCAGGGTTTCACACTGCAAAATGGTGGAAGCAGAGAGAGAGAGAGAGACTAACATCTCATGTGCTATGCTTTCAAAACTTTCAGAACCATGCCCCAGACAACCATTATTAGTCCATTCACTACATCATGGTCCTACAATCTTATCGCTTCAAGGCTTCACCTTTTCCCTACCACAATAGGATTTCCCACCCTCAACAGTTAACAGTGGGGATTAAGCTTTGGAGTGATATTCAACCCAAGGCAGAACCATTTCCCCCAAGCCTTTGATTTGATTTGATCAATCTGTGCATCTGGGGTTATTAAATTATTTTCTGAAAATTGCATATATAACTTTTGCTCTCTGCTTCTTATCCAGAATTGAAATGATCCTCAGGTGTTTATGGTTGCCTTCAGTTTAAAACCATTAACAGTATAATTTTATGTGTTCATCTTTTGGGGCTTATGAATGTTATATTCCCATTTAGTAATATTTTAGCTTCAAGATCACAAATTTAAAAAAACAAAATATGCATTTATCTTTTAAACTTGTTATGGATTTGTGATATACCTTCTATGTAGAACAGCATTATTTATGAAAAAATAAGTTTTAAACAGCTAATTCACTAAATTTGGGTTACTAGCTGCTATACAAGTAAGCCCTAAAATTAAGAAAAAAACTTGCCAAAATGGAATTGAGGTCACCACTTTAGATGATGTATAAAACCATAAAGAACAGAAACTAACATTTTAATGGAAGCTGGAATCCATGTGTTTTTGCTTTTTCAAGAAATATTGCAATGGAATAAAAGTTTATACTTTGACATGGTCTTGTGGGTCAGAGTTAGAACTTAGCATTTTTCTCTCGCTGAGATGGGGAGCCACTGGAGGCACATGGGCAGAAGCATGACATGATTTCATTTGCTCTTGAACAGAATGGCTCTGGGTGCTAGGTT